ATTGTCCTGATACAAGACCCTTTTCCTCAGTTTTTCTGAGTGTTTGGGTTTGATAGCCTTTCATAAATTACTCGTTGGCGTAAAACACTCAATTGATAATGTAGCTATTTGTAAGATAGACAATAAGCAAAATGACATTTGCAAGCCAAAAACAAAAAACCTGAGGATATCACTTTCACTGTACATAAAATTATCTTGGTCTTATTTGGAGAAGATGTGGAGGAGTGTTTCCACAGGATGGATTGTCTCTATGTCTCTGACTCAAAGTGATGAACACAACACTCATCCTAGCTTTGGACACGTTCAAGGAAAACCAGCTGGACCTGCATCAAACAATGTCAGATATTCCCGTTATGCGATCAACTTGGTACGCTTTTGATTAGAAGATGTGAAAATAACTTTATTGTTTTTTTTCTGGTAACCTGACATTTGGCTCTTCAAAAAGACTGTTCATCCCGTTGGTAAAAAAAAAAATCATCAAGAGTAGATATGATGCCATCACCACTACGAAAGTAGTTGCCAGTCAAATGTCATTTAATGTTGGGGAACAGATGATAGTCAAATCAAGAGAATAGGGAGGGCGATCGAACAGTTCAAAATCACAGCAGTCATTTAATCTAAAGACTTGTGTACTGGAGTACTATCTTGACGGAACCAGACTTTTTCCTAGGCATAATATCCTTCATTGATGGTGTGGCTCTTTTTGAAGATAGTCAATAAACACAATGCGTTTTGCATCACAAAATCACTGAGGCTATCAAATTCCCTACAGAGGAAATAATTTTGGCTTTCTTTGGAGGAGCTGAGGGTGAGCTTTCTACTGCATGGATTGTTTCTTTGTCTCTGACTCAAAGTGATGAACCCATCACTCAGCCTAGGCTAGGAAACATTCAAGGAAACCATCTTGATCTGCCTCAATGTCAGATTTTCCCGTGATATCATCAGACTGTTTTCCTTTATATCTGGTGTCAGAAGACGCGAAAACCACCGAACAGAAACCTTCGTCATGCCAAGTTCATTGTGCAAAATATTCTCAACCCTCTCAAGGGATATGTTAATAAGAAGAGTTGGAATTAATACATGTAAGACTTCACAGTTCTAGCATCAGTCCCTCATGGTCAACCTATAAACTATTCAGCCAACCTTTTTTGTCCTTTTTGTTTCCATTTCCATTAAAACATATGTATTGCTTATACACTACATCCATGGAATTCTCAACATTCTTCTGTAGTACCAGTTGTGTTGTCTCACGTTTCATATATGAGGTAATTTTCAGTATTCACTACCATATAGCAGGTCAGTTATATTTACTTGGTTAATAACGAAATATGCCTGTTTCTTAGTACCTTGCTCAGCTTTTACAAAGCATCTTCTGTTAAAAAAATTATGATTTTGGGGCCGCATTTTTCAACCTCTGTTAAAACACTTCCCATATGTTTAAAATCATGTACTTACTTGAAATTAACATTTCCACTTCGTAGTTCAGATCTTGGTCTTGTACTCTTGATGATAAGCATGCGTTTTGTAACTTCCTTATCGATAGATAGTCCTTTCTTCGCGCGATAGAAATACTTTTAGTTTTCCTTCTGGATAGTCGTTGGCTTCCAAGCCTCATTTCCTTTCTTGTCTCAGGGTCACAACACTACAGATTGCTATGGAGAAATCATATTTCTAATTTCCTGCATCATTCCTTCATCGTCCGCCTATGAACTTTTCAGCACATCTTTGTATTTGCGCGTGTAAATGTACCGAACACAACAGGAAATTGAACTCGGCTCTCCGATATTTCATTCCGAGACGTCATCCATTACACCACCCACACATCCAAGCTTACAGCAGCTGGCATTCCTAAGCAGTCACTCATCTAGTTACTGATCAGACCTTGCTTAACTTCGGTGATATCATGGTGTTTCATCGTTATATGGCCTTTAGCCAAGAAGTAATTACTTCTGAACCAATGTTGTCTGTCTGGCAAAGAAGTCTTTTCTTCGGTTTGACAAACTCAAATGTTGGGAAATAAGAGTAAACAGGTCGTGTTACGAGAGAATTAGATACGGCTCATTGGTACCAGAGTAAAACAGTAAGAAATAGGTTGAATGGCTTATATATATATATATATATATATATATATATATATATATATATATATATATATATATATATATATATATATATATATATATATGGTCACTGTGTTTTATGTAAAAAAGTAAATAGGCTAAATTTCACCTTCATCCCTGCAGTGCGCAACGGCTTAGTGGTAGAATCTCCGACTGGTGCCAGTCGGGTTTCGGTCCTAGCTAGAGGCAACCGGGCCGTCTAAGCACACTGAAGAGCTGTGGATGACAATATATATATATATATAAAACTATATAACGATATATATATATATATATATATAAAACGATATATATATATATATATATATATATATATATATATATATATATATATATATATATACATATGGTGATGTCGCCATTTTATATATTTTTTAAAATTTTGGCCATGAAATTTGTTTAATGATTTTGTCGACTACAAAGTATAGTAGGGTCAGTTGGGCACCGTCTAACAATAAAACTATTTAATATATAAAAAAAAAACTCATAAATGCACAAATATATATAAATAACTCATATATACTTACATACACATGAGTACATATGTATGAGTACAAATATATAACAACATATAAAAAATACATACGTATGTGTACACACGTTCATCACTACAAATAGAAACATACATGAATATACCTACGCACATACATACACATACACATATACACACACATATATATATATATATATATATATATACACCTAAAGACACACATATACATGCATACACATATATATACACATATACGCATATGCATATATACACACATAGAAATAAATATAAATATATCAACGTACACAGTAAATTAAAAAAAAAAAAAGGAGAAAAAAGTAAATATATATATATATATATATATATATATATATATATATATATATATATATGCATGCATATATACAAACATATACATATATATATTATGAAATTGACAAAGTCCGACAATTATTTTAAGACATTTTTATGTTTATACATTCTTTTTATAGATACAAATATTTAAGTAAATGTTCTCTTTATAATAAACAGTATTGACAATATTTACCGGATTGAACAATTCCCGGACATTCAGGCAGGCAAATGTTGTTAATACTGTTTATTATAAACAGAGCATTTGCTTAAATATTTGTATCTATAAAAAAGAATGCATAAACATACATATATATATATATATATATATATATATATATGAAGAAAAATATGGAAAAAAAAATTCAAATATACAAGTATGCTGTTTTAATGTTGTTTCACAGTCGACGTCAGACGTTTCGGTCTAATAGACCTTCTTCAGAACATAGTTATTAAAACATAATTAAAATTAGACGATATTCAAGTCAACATGAAAAGACGATAGACATAAGATTGATCAAAACAGAATAACTGAATTTTTTTTAAGATCAGCGTTCCGTTTCGCAATACGATCACGTCGGCATCACGTGGACGATGTTGTGATGTTTTCATGTTGACTTGAATATCGTCTAATTTTAATTATGTTTTAGTAACTATGTCCTGAAGAAGGTCTACCAGACCGAAACGTCTGACGTCGACATTGAAACAACATTAAAACAGCATAATTGCATATTAGGATTTTTGTTTTTCCATATTTTTCTTCATACTGTCGGATCTATATCCACATATTTGCTTACATATATATATATATATATATATATATATATATATATATATATATATATATATATATATATATATATAGATATACATAAACATATATAAATACACATATACTAACAATACAATAAGTCCGTACAAGATTAAAATGTAACAAAACGCAACTGTTGATTACTAAGGCCACAAGCAAATTTAAAACCAAATATATTTTATTGTTGTAATATAATCATGATTTTCTATGTCTAATTCTTCGTTTTGAATATTTATGCGTTGTATTGCTAAATTTAATCCTTTATTTAATATATATTTGGTAATGGATGGATAAATGTCTTTTATATATATTTGTATAAAAGAGAAATTGTTTTTGTTTGTAAAATTGCTGAACCAATTAATAGTTTCTTTTGTATTTTTCCCTTGATGTATATTTCATATTCTACTTCATTTTCGAATATATTTTTCTATTATTTGTTTACTTATTTTTCCTATATTACTTTTTTGTGGCATTTAATAATCAAAATGTAGATTTGTTTAGAAAAGTATTCTCATGATGTTTTAATTTAAGAAATGTTTCTACATTCATTAACTGTTTGCTTCTGTTATTTTAATTTTGTTGCTATTGGTTTTTGCTTCTTTATATAAATTCTTTCCTGATTTAATGGTGGTGGTTTTGTAAAACCGATGAGCATCTTTTTCGATTAGTTTGTGATATTTGGTAGATTCCATTTTATTGATTCTTCTGGATTTGTCTGCTTGAATAAATAGTTCATTTGATTCATTTATTGATTTTATTTCATTTGTTAATTGTTTTCGAAATTTACTGTTGTTTTATATGTTTAATTTTATTTACAATATTTATTAATTATTTTCGAAATCAATAACATTTTTTGTTGTGTTTCATTGATGAAAGTACGAATTTATTAATATATATATATATATATATATATATTAAAACATTTTTTATGTTTATACGTTCTATTTATAGATACATAGATACAAATATTTCAGTAAATGTTGTTTTTTATAAACAGAGCATTTACTTAACCATTTGTATCTATAAAAAAACGTATAAACATAAAAAATGTCTTAAAAATAATTGTCGGACATTGTCCATTTCATAATATATATATATATATATATATATATATATATATATATGTGTGTGTGTGTGTGTGTGTGTGTGTGTGTGTGTGTGTGTGTATAGATAGATAGATAGATAGATAGATAGATAGATAGATAGATAGATAGATAGATGTGACCTAATAGATAGATGTGAATAGCGGAGATAGATAGATAGATAGATAGATAGATAGATAGATAGATAGATATGACCTGATGTGAACAGAATGAGATAGATAGATAGATAGATAGATAGATAGATATGAACAGGCTGAGATAGATAAATAGATATGAACAGATTGAGATAGATAGAGAGAGACAGAGACAGAGATGAACGACTGTTCTTTTGATTTCGATGTATGAGGATCTGAAAACTTCATTCCGTTTTTGTCGGATGTGACACTTCAGTCCCTCTAGTGACCCGCATACAAGTCCACATATCGTGCAACAGTGAGGATCTTGGAACATAGTAACAGGAATATTTGCTGGCGCTTTTCGCCGTTGCCTTTTGTCTTTTAGCCAATCAGTACGACTAATTTCAGCATTTCCGATACGACTCTAGCACAAAATATCTCTTCTCATTTCTATCCAGAGCAAATCGCTCGCAGTTAGTATGAGGCACATTGACTGCTGGGAGGTTCTCTTTTCGGCTTGACGGTCGAACTCCCTGCCTCTGAGCAGAGAGGAACCCGGACGAGGCTCCGCCGAAGAACAGAGTCTCGTTCGGGGAGGTTGACCAACCCGATCCCGTTTATACGGGTTCTACGGGCATTTTTTGGCAGGGCCTACGGGCTTGGGAAACCCACGTTAAACTCGGCCTTGTGCCACATGCTACCCTCGTGGGTGTGGCTAGATGGCTAATCGAGTCGAGCCGATAGTAGTTCACTCCAAACCAGTCTGACAGTCATACTAACACCTTCCACATCTTGTATTATTATTTCGTGTAATATACCTTCGTTATTTCTACTCTTGTGTTCGTGTTGTTCTTTCTTGGCCCTAACCTGGACCATAACTATATATATATATATATATATATATATATATATATATATATATATATATATATATATAGCCAGTTTATACTGACGATCCACGTAGGTGAAAACCTTGGTAGGTTTTTCTAGCTCTTTAGGTTTACTTAGTTTGCTCTACTTAGCGTATTGAGCACTTTGCTTAGTTATTTTTACTTTACTCGTGTCGGAGGTTTTTTCTTTGGACTCTGAACTTTAATTCTAGACGATTATTTTCGCCGGAAGTATATGTTCTTAGTTCTTTCTTTTTTTCCCTTGGGTATTGGTTTGTTCATTTACAAGCTAAAACCCCTACGTTTTTGCCGGACAAGTATAGCTGCTTATATTTATAAGATTATTAGTATTATATATATATATATATATATATATATATATATATATATATATATATATATATATATATGGGGGCACTATGGAGTGGTGGATAGTGGCTCAGACTGAGGAATCTGAGAGCCGAATTCAAATTCTAGTCGAATCCATTACATTCAGTTACGTTCTAATACCCATGAGAAAGGTATGACTCCTCTTCTTCTCCCTCCAAGACAGACTTGGTTCTATGGCCTTGGATGGCTACTGGTCTAGGAGAAGGACGACTCTGAATTGGGGACCTTTGGGGACCTTATGGTATGTAGTGCACCAGCTCTCTGTATTCGGCCCTTCAAAAAATGTGGTTGTTTCTGCACAAAGCCTTCCCAACTATAATCAAATTACATGTGTTGGTGTCTGGTTGTTGGTTCTTAGGAACCCTGCATGACCATCATACGTGGAATACGACGGGAGAGTCCACCATGTATATATGTGGTTAGCACGTTCGCTTTCTGACCATGAGACACGGGTTCGAATCTCACCACGGATCATTTGTCAGAAGAGACTTTCTGATTATATCGTCCTGGAGGGGCGATTCCAGCGTGATCGAAAAATCATACCACGGATTTACCCAAGCCGTGTGAGTGAAATTGGGTAGACGGAACACTAGCACGAAGTCACAAGTCATCGTGACCGAGGGTTTGAGCGGGCTGGGCTTGTTCAGATTGTTGATCACGCTAGGTAACACTCTCTTTCTCTCTCCCAGAAACTGTAAGTAAGGGCTGCTCAGCCTAGTAGCAGTATAAATCATTGGTGGGCTCTGTGTGTGTTGAACAATCTCAAATCTGCCTGACCGATGGTCTACAATAAAGATTGGCTAGCCGCCCCAGTAGACGAGCATCCTCGAAAACGAGTGGCATATATATATATATATATATACATACATACATAGATAGATAGATAGATAGATAGATAGATAGATAGATAGATAGATAAGG